ATGCCTACCAAGATAGGAACCAACATATGGGGCCTAAACCAGGACTCCACATATTCAGGCGGGTTCGGAAGGGCATACACTTCGAACTTCAACTGCTGACCGCTCACACTCGACGCCAAAGTAACATGGAACTGTGCCGTTCCCCATGCCCCAGACCCGTAACGAAAGTATGGCCGACGGGATTGGTCGATGGTGATCACCGCCTGGGAATCTTGCTCAATGACTGCTGCAATGAGCCGCTGAACACTAGCCTCCGGCCCTGCTGATGCGGTAGCACCGCAGTCCAGAAGGCCTGAAGTCGGAGGAATAGCGTCCTTCTCCGAGGACACTTGACACTCGTGCCCGGTGGCCCCCTCAGAACCAAGCATCTCCAAGCCATATGCGTTCACTCCTGGGAAGGTACGGGGATGCTTGCCTCCTTTACCCTTGATGACCGGTCCTTTGTTCATGCCGAAGTGGCTCTTGGACTTGCCCTTCTTCTTTCCTTTGCCGCCCACAAAGTAGATCGCATCATAGCCGGGCGGCTCGTACTCATAGTAGTCCGCAGCCATTGCACCCTTGGGGCGTCCTTTGCCAGCTCCCTTGCAGTCACGGGCGAAGTGACCGTAGGAGCCACACTTGTGGCACTGATCTGAAGACATAGCCGCTCTGAACGCCGAACCCTTGGCGCCGAATCCACGATCCTTCCTCACTGCAGCGGTTGCCTGCTGTGCACGCTTCCAAGTCATCGCCGCCTCGGCCGCCATGGCCTCCGCGGCCCGTTCTGCTTGAAGGGCCTCACGAACCTGATTGTCATCAAGCTCCGCCGCCGTGTAGGCATTGGGATCCGGCTCGGATGGACCCGCGGTCCACTCGTCTTGCCACGGTTCCTCAGCTTCTCCATAGAGCTGCCACTGCTCATCTCCATCGTCGTACCATTCGCTCTCGTCCCACGGGCCTTGTTCAGCCCACTGTGCCTCGTAGCCGCCCTGCTCCTCCATGTGGTACACCTGAGGGCCGCTCTGAAGGACAGGTCCTGCCGCCGGGCGCCGCGCACCAGACAACTGCTCATCCCATAGCACCTGCAAGGCATTCGAAACAGACTCAAAGTCGAGCCGGTTTGCCGTCGAAGAGAGCACGTCCCTGCGCTCCTCCAAAGACAAGCTTGCCGCCTGGAGAAGGCGCCAACCACGAAGAACGTCGAGGATGAAGCTGTCAAAGGTGTCATC